TCTCCTTGTGTGAGATTGTTACTATGGCTTGCTGGTGTGTCCTTTAGCTCCTTCATTTCCATTTATATGGAATCTCTTGTCCTCTGAAAAAGTTCTTCTGTGAGTTGGTTGAATTTCTCATCTAGTGATTGTTTAATTTAACTGGTAAGTGTTTGTTTAATCTCTGTTTCCAGTGCAGTGAGTGTTGATTTTAAGTCCTCATCGACCATGCTCAAGTGTTTTGATGGGCTTGGGGACTTGTCTGGGTTTTTGTCTTTATCTGGAACTGCATCTGAGTTCCTTAGTTTCCTCGTTGTTGTTCAAGCTTTGTGCAAGTTAATTGGAGATTTAGATTCCCAGTCAGTTGAGAACTGATCTGTTAAGTTGTTTATACTAGACAGCTAACAATTCCACATCTCCTGTTCAGGTTATTTTCCGTAGCATACATTGTTGTTTGAGTTTGCCCCTCCAAAATTAACAGCTAGTTACTCATTGTCATTAACTGAGATTTAAGGCAGTAAATAGTCTCTGAAATTGGAATTTCCCACTTCCCACCTGCCCCCAGTCATACAGGTGCTAATGTGAGGTTTAGAGGTTAGAGTGTGTTTTCTGGACATAGCCTGTCCCAGGGACCAAGTCTGATGGCACATGGCAGCAGGATGGGTCCCTGGGTATCCTGGTGTATTCCTCTGCAGAGTTTTAGGGTGAGGAGGGGCTAGCTTAACTTTTTAAATAGTAGTCCTTTTTTATTCATTTTTGGTCACATACTCCCTATAAAAGATTTTCCTTTTGGATGTGTATTGCCTTTATAACATAAATTTAAATTAGATCCTATTTTTTCCTAGTGTTTTTTTAGGACCATTAAACCTTTTTTATTTTATTTTTTATTAAATCACCATGAATTACAAAGTTATGCATGATTGAGTTTTAGGCATAAAATGTTCAAGCACCAATTTCCTCACAAGCGTCTGCTTCTCTCCACCAGTATCTCCAGTTCCCTCCTGCCCTGCAGCCTGTCTCTTTGGCAGGCACTGTTCTCTTTTGCATTTTTCCTTTTAGGCAGTGGTTTACAGTACTGTTACTAAAGGTATAGATCGTGCATTACTTTACCTTCCTGAAGCAGCCAGTTCTGGTCCAGAGCGACCATCTTTGCTGTAGTAGTCCCTTCTCGGTCCTTTCAGCCATTAAATATTAATTGTTTAAAGTTTTATGGCCTATCATTTCTTTCATACAATTGGCGATTTCTTAACTTTTTTTCATAAAGCCTTTTTAGGGATTTAATAATCTTTGAAAATGTGTGTCATTTGTAGTGTTAGTTACGTTAGACTCAAATAAAAAAAACTTTCACATTTCTTGAGACCTCCATGATTGTTGCATTTTATTCTATTTGTTATCATCTTCATTATTATTATCATTATGTGAGGGACTCAAACAAGTAAGTGACCATTTTATTTCTCATGTGCTCAGAATAGTCAGATACTTTTGTTTTGTTTGGGGGCGGGGGCCGTACCCTGCTGTGCTCAGCACTCCTGACTCTGATGGAACCTGGTCATTCCTGCCAAGGCTGCAAGGTGATACTGAGGATTAAACCCAGGTTGGCTCATGACAAGCAAACATCCTACCTTCTGTACTATCTCTCCAGACCCAGCATTTAGCTTTTTCCTTAAAATTCTGGTTAATTTTCCTTTACTAACCTAAGATAAAATAAAATAGAGAATATCCTATATATACTTCTGAAGATTAGTTTCAAATTGGTTTCCTTGGTTTAGGATCACTGTATCACTGTTTCCCATTGTTCGTCGATTTACTCAAGCAGGCGCCAGAAACATCTCCATTCGTCCCAACCCTGAGATTTTAGCAGCCTCTCCTTACTCATCTTTCCCAACAATTGGAGGCTATTTCCGGGTCACAGGAATGAGACCTGTTATAATTACTGGTTTTGTCATATCGAATACGCCACAGCTCTGCCCTTGAGGGTGGGATACTCTTAGTAGCTTGCCGGGCTCTCCAAGAGGCATGCATGCATATATATATATATATATTTCTCTCTATAACTTGTTGCCTACTGTCTGAACTCCATCAAATATGGTGTGGTAATTATGGAAAGTGGGTAGGAAGGTCTTATGATGTGGCCACACACAGTTTCAGAAAGCCACCTGGAGAGTGGCGGCGGTTGGGTAGTGGAGGTCGGCTGCCAGGGCTGGATCCCTTGGGGCAGGGAGGGCTCTCACCTGCCCCATTCTGGGGTGCCCCGAGTGGAAACAGCCTGATGCGGAGCCCAGTGGCATGGTTATGGGGGCCTCATTTTATACTCCCATCTGGGAAGAGTAGCTGTAAGTTCTGGAGGGTGGCCAATGAGGAGATTATCTGGTGCCGGCAGGGAGTGGCTTATGGGTGTGACCCCTGCCTCACTGGAGACTGGGGGAAGCAGGCAGAGGATCTCTGCTCCTGGGTCCCATTGAGTCCAAATTCCAAGGTCACAAAGTTTCACATTACCTGGTTTCCTGAGGGACTTCACTCATGCGTGAGGCTTGGCCAGAGCATCCAAAAAGTGGCCTGAAGCATGGCATCAGATGGTTAGTGGAGGTCGGCTGCTGGGCTGGGTCCCTTGGGGCAGGGAGACCTCTCTCCTGCCCCCTCTGGGGCGTCCCCAGTGAAAACAACCTGGTGCAGAGTGCAGGCTGTTTTAGGATATATGACCCAAATTTTCATTACTGATACTTAAACAGCTGGTACTTTGGAAAAATATGCATTTTTTCAATGTATTTTTAACATGATCTTCAGGTTTCAAATCCTGATTTCACCATGTTGTGAAGCTGTGTAGCCTAAGTATTATGCCTTTCATTCCATTACTATGAAATGAGTATTATTTAGTGGCTAGCTGATTATTGAGATGATTAAGATAGTGTATATAAAGTACTTAGAATACTGCTTCATTAGACATTTTTTACAGCTAAGCATTTATACTTTTGCCTTTATAATTTTTTTAAATATGCATTTTCTTTAGTATTTTAGTTTATAAAAACTTACTTTAATAGCGATAGCATAGCGTAGGGTGTTTGCCATGCACGCAGCCAGCCCAGCTGAGCCAGGTTCAATTCCTCCACCCCTATCGGAGAGCCCAGCAAGCTACCAAAAGTATCTCACCCGCACGGCAAAGCCTGGCAGGCTACCCGTGACATATTCAATATGCCAAACACAGTAACAACAAGTCTCAAAAATGGAGACGTTACTGGGCCCGCTCGAGCAAAATTGATGAACAACGGGAGGACAGTGACAGTACTTTAATATATAATGTAGTGCCTTTGATAGGTACATTAGAAAACTTAAATACATTGTTGTTAGTAAATGTTTATAAACATATTCTGGTGTTTATAGAAGCTCATAGTAGGTCTTCTTACTGCTAAATTAGTTTTTTGCCTCTTATGTAACATTAAGACTTTCACAAATTTTGCTCTTAAATTGGGAAAAAGCAGACCTACATGAATTATCCCACATTTTAGAGCTTTAAAAAGTAAAATTTTAGCACTGGAAAAAATCAATTTAAAGTAGGCCATCAGAGACTTACCACTAAAATTTCAACCTGGAAGGAACTTGCTTCTAATTATGTTTTCAGAAGTAAGCTTTTAATAGAAAGAAATACATTGCCATTTTTGTTAATGTGTTCCTGATGTTTTATTCATTGAATTACGGGATACATGACAGAATTCCATCCAACATTATTATTGTGGCACAAAGCACAAACAGAAAAAAAATGAATTTCAGCTGTTTGAGTGAAAATGTAAAAGTGTGATAGGATGGAAAGAATGTCCTGGATGACTTTTTATTCATTTAGAGAAAGAAACTATAAAAACATTTACTTAACTGATTTTCTTTCCATATCACCTTTTTAGCTAAAAGGACAGTCTTAATATTAATATTTCATAACTAAATGTTTAATGGTAGAAATTTTCAGTGACTAGTTACCGTACATTATAAAGAGAGAGTCTTCATTATGCCACTTCTAAATTTTTTCTAGAGGACATTTAGTCAATACGGTGTTTGCATGTTTTATATTAAACTCGGGCTCTTAATTTATGTTTCTGACTTGGAGAATTGCAGTGGAATTACAGAGCAAACAAACTTTTCATGTATGCATTTTCTTTGGTATTTCTTACCCATGAATGTAATAGTCTTTGTATTCCGTTTATTTTAGAAATAAAATAAGAAATAAAGAATAAATTAGAAAATGAGTTTTCCCATGTCAGGAAATTAATTGAATTAACATCTATTTGCTCATTTTTCTTCTTATTAAGAATGGATGTGTTTGCTCATCATAAAGTGAAACACTCATTCTTTGTTTTGGGTTACAAGCAGTTTCCTCTACCTATCTCTTCAGCATAAACAGATAAAGGCATGTGTCATATGGATTCTAACAGTACTTGGCAGCCTCTATTAATTGACTGTAAGATTTTAAAGTCCTATTCTATAGGGTGCAGGGCATAACAAAAAAATAAAATATATATCCCAGCAATATCCCTTTTTAATAAATAAAAGAAACATGAGGATGTTGCATCCCTACAAAATTATTTTAAAATATGAATTTTAATGAAAAGGGAGATCTGGGATTGAAGAGATAGTGCAGCCAGCCTGATTCTGTCACTGGTACCATATATCACTCTCTGAGCACCACATGATCACTGACCACAGAACCAGGAGTAAACAATGAGCAAAGCCAGGTGTGGCCCAAAAACCATGATGATCATGATTGTGGTGGGCTACCAAAAGTATCTAAAAGAAGCTATTTTGATGGTGGTAGTGGGAGATCTCCAAGTATATTTCCGAAACTATTTGTATGGGAACTGACATTTATTATAAACAAGGTCTAATTCATTTTATAGCAAGATACTGTAAGTCTAATTTTGATGATCTTTTATTGTCATGTAACTGACAACATCTTTTAGTATAGTGATGAAGTATAAGATATCAATACCAGAGTTAGAAAAGAATTATTTTTTGTATTAAATTGAACTTTTTATTAGATGATAATGAAGGTAACGTAGAAGACAATGGACAAGCAAAGAAAACACAGAAGGATGATGAAGAACAAATTGCTAAATACAAGCAGCTCTTGCAAGTTATCCAAGAAAAAGAAAAGAAAGGAAAAGAAAATGATATGGAAATGGAAATTAAATGGGTTCCAGGTAAGAATTAGATACTGGCTAAATGTTCGCTTATTCTTTTAATCTTAAGGTATTGAATACATGTTTGCTAAGAAGGGAGAGATAACTTAAATGTCTTGGTAAAGAAGTTAGCATGAATTTTTATGTAATGTTAATTCACTCAGGACTAGCATTTTAAATTCTTGACAGTTTATTCTTGATTAATTTTGTTTTATTAGCTCCAATTTACTCCTGTCCATTTGTGACAATAGATCCCTCTTAGATTTGATTCTAGTATTCTAGGATATGGAACTTTAAATACAGATGCCCTGTGTTCTAAAGTCATTAAACTTTTTAAAAATGTATAAGTGGACATTTCTTTTATAACCTCTAATAGACTTTTGTGATTAGTATTATTTCATTAGCACAGTAATGTAATAGTTTTTCCTCACATTTTTTCTGTGACTATTTTAAAGGATAGCATAGTAACTATCTTCTATAACGGCCTTGAAGTGTTCAATAGTAGTTTCAACACTAGTACAATACTAATTGAAATAATGTCAGAGCTAAACAAATATAAGTTAGGATAAAAGCTAAGATAAAGCCCAAGATTGTTTTCTAGCATTTGCAGTTTTTCATTAGTCCTGGGTAAATTACCATCAACTTTGCAGCCACCGTTATTTTTGCTATTGTAACAGAAAATTGCATCGGTGTATTTTGAAGCTAAGTATAATTTTTGACAAGTAATCAGTTCTTTAGCTCCATTTCATCTCTAAATAAAAGAGTATTTGTAATGATAATATTTCTTAAAAATTAAGTGTTCTGTATACACTTGTATTTATATAAGTGTTCTATTTACACTCTGTTTCTTAAAATCAGTATGTTTTTGCACAGGTAATAAAACATTTCTATAGAAATACTATATTATATTGTAAGATTTTAGATAATTGGCTTTGTAGACAGTGGTGATAAGGAAAAGTAAAATTTAATAGTGTTGTTTAAGCAATGATTATGAGTAATTTATTCTGTAGCAGGTAAGTTTCAGAATTGACGTGATCACTGTTTTCAAGTACTTCAAATATAAATATGTAAACAAAGACTAAATCTTTTATATCAGTGCTTTTTGCCACTGGATAAAAGTTGAAGGAAGAGGACTGGAGTGATAGTACAGTGGGTAGAGCACTTGCCTTGTACTTGGCTGACCTGTATTTTGTCCCTGGCATCCAATATGGTCCCCCAGGTGCCACCAAGAATGATTCCTGAGTGCAGAGAGCCAGGAGTACCCTGAGCATTGCCAAGTATGACCCAAAGCCAAACAGAACAAACAAAAACTGTTGAAGGAAGGTAGATTTCAGTGTACTATAAAGAGGAACTGTATTTCGTTAGAATTGCCATGCATAAGAACAAAGTCTGTTTTAATAGGTTGTGCTCCCTTTGTGTGTGATTGTCACAGTAAGGCCATATAACCATATCACTCCAGGATATTTATGAAGAAACTTCTTCCTTGAGGTTCTTCACTTAGTAATTTCAATAATTGTTGGATTCTGCCTTTGAATTCTGTAATTATGATATGTTGTAACTATACCTTAATTCTAAGAATGATCTTACTCAGAAAATATTTTAAATTACTATATTAATAATATTACATTCATTTTATTGAGGTAAATTGGTGATATGTTTTGCAATTTTTTTGTGAACTAAACAATTTTTTATAAACTAAACTAATACCCTTCTGCCACGTTCCATTGGACCTCTTCACTTGCAATCACTTCCCAGGTTCCTGATTCTCCTCAGATTTGTGGCCAGAATCAAAGGCTTATATTGGATATTTTTCTTTTTCCTCACTTTTTTTTTATATACCAGATATGAGTGAGATCATCTGTTACTAGTTTTTCTTCTTCTAACTAATTTTTTTCTGTTTTTTTGTTGCAATTATTTTGTAAAGTAGTTCACAATACATTCTGACTGATTTTGCTTGACATGACCAACTCCAGTTCTATCCATGTTTATCACATGGCAGGATTTCATCTTTTCTGGTGACTGAGTAGTATTCCAGTAAGAATATATATATATATATATATTATTTTTTTAAATAAATATAAATCTGTACATATATATTTTAAATTCATCTGCCATCGGGCACTTTGAGTTGTTTGCATTTCTTGACTAATCAGTAAATAGCGCCTCAGATTAGGTTCAACATGTCTTTTTAAAGTAGTGTTCTTAGGATACATCCCTAGTTGGATCTTTAGGTAGTTCTCTGTAATTTTTTTGAGAAATCTCCATGCTGTTTTCTATAAGAGCTGAACTAATTTACATCCTTAGCAATGGTGAATGTAAAGATTCATTTTCCTCCACACCTTTGCTAGGACTTGTTACTTCTGACTCCTTGATCCTATTTTTTCTAGAAGTATGAGACTGTAACACTTTGGGCGGATGGGGGGGAAGGGAGGCAGTTATACTGAACACCTGGCAGTGCTTCAGGGCTAACCTCTGGCTCAACATGACAAAGTTTTATGCAACACATTTTTCTTGGGATAGACTTCAACTTGCCATGTCTTGTTGTCCTAAAGCTTCTTATAGTGTGTTAATGAACAATATTTGTAATATTTATTACTTAGTGCTTAGTGTCCTTGGTATTTTGGTACCAGGTAATGCTTCATGAAATGAATGAATTAGGAACTGTTTCCTGAACCGCACATTTTTATTTTGAGCTTTTTTAAATTTTTTTCTCCTTTTGGTGCTTCGGTCCACACTGGCAGTGCTCAGGTCGAATTCCTGACTCTGCGTTTAGCAGTCACTTCTGACACTGCTCAGTGTACCATATGGGGCACCAAAGATTGAACCCATATCAGCAGTTTGTGAGGCAAGTGCCCTATCCACTGTACTACCACTCTGGCCTTATCTTGGCTTTTTATTTTTGATTTTTATAGTGTCATAAAATACTTTGGACAAATGAAATGAAAACCTTTCATCTATAATTTCACTTCCCTAATCCTACCACTGAGTGATCAAGTAGATTTTGGTTTAATTTTATAGTTTCTCTATTGCTGAGTATTTCTACTCTTTGACTATAGTATAGACCTTTGGTTTTGAAAAGTAAGATGACCTAAGACTGTTTCCCATCCCATATTCACAACACCAGTACTTTCTGACATCTGCTTTCACTGCAAGTCAAATAATTGGTACTTCCAAGAAGTTTTATTGCTCTCCCATCCTTTCCCTTCATTGATCTTGTTACATAGAAGCCTACTTGCCCCACCTATATTCCATTGTGGTGCTTGTGGGAACTCATATGTAGTTCACATTCATTTAGTTGTGGTGTTGGTCCATATTCTGATATAGTACTCCAGGGAGTCACACCCCTTTCGGTGCAGTGCTTGTACGCCCCGTTACCAAATTATGGCCAGAAATTCCTTGCAGTGTCAAATAATTGTAGGACCTTTGTTGAGTGCATGAAGTGACACTAGGGATTGAAACTGGACCTTTGTGTTTGTAAGGCAGGCATGCTAAGCCACTGAACTATCTCTAGAACCTCTCCAAAGGAATTTTTTCAGCAGTGATTTTTTATTTTCCCTTCTCCCCTCTATTTTAAAATTGTTTCTGTTCCTTTGAGGACTAGTAGAAAGCAATCAGATCAAACAGAGAACTCACTAGTTACTAATGGAACTTTTTCTCATAATATACTTGCTTATGCTGTGGATTAATTTTTGTTTCTCATAAACTACTAAAAGCTACCACTGCCACTGTAAAAACCTGAAAAGTTAAATCTCAGAGGTCAAATATCTAGGATATTAAAAATGATCTATATAGCTTTTTCCATATTTTAAATTTTTCCCCATAGCATAGCTTTCCAGAAATCTAATTACTATTAAGAGCACAGATATTTTTATGTCTTCAAGTTGCTGCCAAGTTGCTTTCCAAAAGAGTTATACCAGCTAAAAATGCTTCTTCAGTGAGTAAAAGTACAAGCTTTAGGAAATTATCAACAATTTTGTATAAATTTTTTTTTAGTTAAGTAATGAACAAAAATTGGTATTTGACATATAAGGCACTTTTATTTATTAGATTTGTTTAATAAAATAAATGTGGAATATTTTTTAGGATCTCCATTTATTTAATCAGTGTGGAAAATGACACTATTAATACATTTTGCTTAAGCTGAGATATTTATAAAAGTGCCTTATAAACTACAGAGTAAGAATCATGTTACAACCACTTATTTTTGTTTTAAGAAATATGTCCAGGAGTCAGGAGATAGTATAGTGATTAGGGTGCAGTACTGGACCTGGAGACCTAGGTTCAGTCTCCAAACTCCATAGTCATGTGAGTATTAGCAGGTATGTCTAGATGCCCTTAAGCATCACGGGATATGTTTGGGACCCTCTACACACACACACACACACACACACACACACACACACACACACACAGCATTTTCTTTGGGCCCTAGTATTGATTCTCCTTCCCAGTTTCCTCCAGTTGTCATCCCAACCCATCCCACCCCCACCACCCGAGCCCTCTGAGCAGGGTTTGCATGGGCCCACCTTCCACACACCAATAAAGAAAGAAATCTGTGTCCTAGTACAATTACCTTAAGACTTAGGTGATGTTATACTTCAGTGAACCACAGAGGGTCAGTGTGAGATTAAATTATACGTAACATAAGTACACTTAATAACTAGCACGTGTTGAGGCTTGCTTAGCAGTTATGGTATTTTAAAAGAAAATTTACTTTAAACTTTTTTAACTTTGTATCTCTTTACATTGTATTAATTCAGAATAGTAATATCCGGTGGGTTTTTTTGTTGTTTTCTAATTTGGGGAGCACACCTGGTAGTGCTCAGAGCTTACTACTGGCTCTGTTCAGGAATCACTCCTGGCAGGCTTGGAGGACCATATGGGATTCTGGGGATCAAACCTGAATTTGCCGTGTGCAAGGCAAACCCCTACCCACTTGTGCTATTACTCTGGTCCAAGCAGTTTAATTCTTAAGGGCAATATTAAGAGAGGCAGGTAACAGGAACATGGTGTAGCAACTA